TTTCTTAAGTTCGTTACAAAATAATAAACTTAATAATGATAATAACAATAAAATAAATGAATAAAAATATAGGTAAACAATTTTAACAAAAGGTTAAGAAGAAAACTTTTTTTATTTTTACTAACCATGCATTGTAAGGGTTGTCTTCTGGTGATGGTCTGTAACCTGGTGTCCGTGGATATTTCACTGGCAGTTTGGGGTCTGGTAACTCGTACAACCGTTGGTAGGTATCAGCCAGAATAGTAGAAATGGCCTCTAGAAGATATCAACTATACCATGATAGAAAAACTATATTTTTTCGTTAAAATTCGTCCCTCACAAATCCTCCGAAAAGAGGGAAAAGAAATTACTTAAAATTGATTAAAAATAGCATTTACAGCAATTTGAAAAGAATACAAGATACAATATAATTAATTATTTTTGTCATTTGCTGCGTGCTTCCTATCTGTTCCTGCAAAGTAGTTTTTTTGGCTTTTTCATTTCCTTTCGTCATTTTCTTTTGCGTTTCATGTATTTCGGAGTTTCCTTTACATAGATATTTCCGAATTGCTGTGGCCCAAACAACGGACATATCTTCTCAAGCTATTTAAATGGTATAATTAAAGTTAATACTCTTTGTACTGCTCTCAATCAAAGATAACATTCTCTGTGCTGCTCAGTAGCTTTTTTTTTGTACTATTGAGTAAAGTTAATCGTACGTGTTCAGGAAAACTCTCAGCTCAGGCTAGCAATTCGTCGTATTAACATCAACGATCTAAGGCACAACTTCTAAAATTCCGAACGCGGATATGGATGTCTTTTGACCTTTCACATCTTTTAATGGAAAAGTTGCTCTCCAAAGTTGACCGTACTTTTTCGCCTTTAAATTATAGTTTTTCGTTGTATTTTCTTCCTAATTGTCGAAACCGCTTCATACCGCTTTATACGTCGTTTACTCCGCCTGTTTTCATCGCTTCGCTGCGTAACATTTCATCTCCAAGTTCTACTATGTCCCATCGCTTCGCTTCAATAAACTTTGTTTATATCCTTATCGTCGTGAACATCGTTATTGTAACTACCGTTTCTTGGAACGTGTCAAAGAAGTCTCTATTTTAATTTGGTATTAACCGATCGTCCTGTGAGTATCGAGTTCTGCGTTCACACTCTCCTAAGTTTAAATGATGAACTAATTACTTACCCTGGTATGATCGAAGATCAGATTCAGGAACATCCAACCCCGTGTCTTGTGCTATTTCTCTAAGACGCACTAAACTTGGTACGCGTATAGCGGGCTCCTTAAACATTGCGCGAACGCCAAGAGACCTGGCAACAAAGAGTAATTACGCTTGTGGATTATTGCTTGTG